CATGCACGCACGCGCGCGCACGCACACACGCGCACGCACGCACGCACACGCACACACGCGCGCACACACTCCCACCCCCACTCTAGGCTTCTCTAACTGCCTGCTAGGCTCCTGGCCCTTCCCCCACAACCTCCCTTTCCTGTTCCACAGCCTTGACCTCTTCACAAACTCCGTTTCCCCTTTATTTAACATCAGTAACATGGAGAAATTAAGAAACACAAAAAGAATAACTTCTGTCCTTTCTCTTATGAGTGTTTAAATTCCTGCCATCTTTTGCAGAATGAACTCTGAAAAGACACACCAGAAAAGCCTCAGTCCGAATGACCTCCTTGATCTTCACTCCCTCCCTCTGCCCCTAAAACACCATGGCAACTGCCACCTGAAAGAGGCCAGGCGGAAATCATCCAATAAAACCAAGGTTTGCTTGCCAGTGCTTTCTTATTTAATAAAGTTCTGCAGAGGGTACTTTTCCCTTACCCTTCATTGCCTTAACTCCCTTAATGCTAGCAAGACAAAGAACATGTGGTAGTACATGTGATTATAAGAACCATAATTTGTTGTAGATATTTACTTGTAAGTCTTCACATTTTCTCTGTAAGTTGAAAGTTTGTCATCCTCCAGGTCTGCACCCAGAAAGTGAGGCCTATAGCAGAGGCAGAAATCAGTGGGATGGCAATAAATAGTCACACTGTGGCAAAAAAAAACACAGGCTGTCCAATCAGGCAAATTTGGGCAAATTTCAACCTGCTGTTTATCAGCTGTAAGACCTTGAACAAGAAAGCTACTTTGCGTCTCCATGCCTCAGTTTCTTCATTTGTAAAATGGGGTGTTCTGCTTGTCTAAAATGGGGATTATACAATGTTTACCTTGCAAAGTTATTTTAAGGATTAAATGAGACGGTGCAATTAAAGGGCGTAGTAAGCAGAATGCACCCAAGCTATGATTAGCTATGACTAAGGTTATCAATAGAAAGGTTACAAGCTTTCTAGACTCCTAGTTTAGTTCTCGTGCAATTAAAATCAAATTCCTCATGGGATTCTAACTTTCAGGAAGGTAGATGAAATGCTTCCACAGTGCCTGCTCCTCTACAAACTAGAAACAGGGTATTGTCTGGAGAGAAGAGGCCTTCAATGAAATGGCAAAGAATTTCCTGGACTCCCACATGACTGTAGTTGTATTGTTAGAGCAAAAGCCATTATGAGTCTAGAAACACTTTCAGTGACTTAAAAGTGTATTACACTCAACAACATCAACAAACATTTGGGCAACAGTAGTATATACATTTGAGAGGCATGTTATTTATTGGGGCCACAGGCTGGGCTCACTTCATGTGTACATGGATTCTGCTGCAACAACACTGCAGACCCCTAAGAATCTAGAGCTTATAGTTTAGAAAGCAACAGTCAAGCTCAATTGTCTCAAACTGCAAAAGGATCATTTAAGAGCTTATTTTTAAATCGTAGGCTCCACCCCCACCCACCCCGCCAGAGATTGATTAAGTAGATCAGGGGTAGAGGTTAGGAATGCGAATTCTCGGTAAATTCCCCATTGGGGAATTGGTTGATTACCTTGAGTCCAGAGGAGTTACAGAGCTCTGGGAATTAGCATCCCTGACTGGCCCCTCTTCTTTCTCTTCCAAGGATCTCATTCCAATCACCTACCTTCTCTTTGTTCTTCACAGTTCTGGGCTTCTTTAACTGGAGTGTTATGCTGATATCACAAAACAACACGTAGGAAAATCTCTGAGAGTCAAACATAATGACTGGCTTTCTTCAAAGAGCAACAACATTCAATTATGCTTCAATTTTTTTAAAAAGCAACATCATATCTTTGCTTTTCAGGGACTTATTTTTTTGATACTAACAGTACCTTAACATCCATTTTAACTAATTCAGAGGCAACCTGTGCTCACAAATGAAGGATACAGAGATTATGCTCAAGTGGTCTGGCTTGAAAATTGGCTCCACAATGTAAACACCCAACAGTACTTTAAGCTATTCCTGAAGAGAGGAAAACTTTTAAGTCAATAGGGAAGCCAAAATAGAAAATGTTGATAAAATTAGAAAATATCATAAGGAGGAACCACAAAACCAGAATAAGAAGCCCATCTTCACCACCAACTCCCCCATCCAGAATATCCTCCCCCACTAGAGCCTCTCAGTCTCCCACACATGAGAAGGAACTGGGGACAGGGTGCCAGGATAAGTCCCTTTTTCCCATCCTTTATTATCGTCAACGCCCTTGAGTGCCTCTTCAGCTTTTTTGGGAACTTAAATGCTTAGTTTACGAGGTCAAATGACTATGGAACATTTTCCAAAAATTAAATCACCAATTAAAGAAAGAACAGTGTTGTTTTAATATTCTCTTCTGCTGTTTCTCTCAATCTCTCTCTCTCTCTCTCATTTCTCTCTCTCCTTTCATTCTCTTGCTCTTTCTCTCCCTCCCTTCTTTTCTCCCTCTCTCTCCCTCTCTCTCCTTCCCCTCCCCTCTCCACTTCACCACACACAGAAACCCCTTTTCAAAGGGGCTTTTTTCCAACTCAGTGAAGTAAAGTCTTTGCCCCTTTGTGGGGAAGGCTCATTAACATTCCCACAGCAGCATCTCTTCAAGGATTTTACTTTTGTAACTCTGTGGGGAGGTCAAGAGGCCACAGTGGAGAGGTAAAAGGAAAAAATGGTAAATGGGGGAGGGCGGAAGAAAGGAGAGGAGGGGAAAGAGCCCTTCCTTTCACAATAAGGCCAGCAAGAAGGAGGGTGGACCAAAGTAGGAAAAGACCAGACAGACAAGACTCAGTAAAGAGATGAATATTGGGCCCCCAGATCTGCCCTTGGAGATCTCCAGATTCCTGAGAAAAGCAGAAAGCTATGTTCCTTCTCTCATTTCTTTTCCTCAAACAGGAAGTACAGATGGAAACAGTGGAATGAAAGAGTGACAAAACCCAGTCTATTCCACTGAGAAATTAGAAGCTTTCCTGGCCCCAGTGTTCCCATTTCCCCTACAATAGCCTAGTGATAACTGCACCTGTCTACCACAGGGAGGTTAACAGGATGAATGAGACAGTGTCAGCAAGAGTTCCAAGGGTTGACCGTGAGGGAGCCACTCAAGGTCCTGACCCCAAAGGACTGGGAAAATAATGGAGATTCAGTGAACTCCAAAGCAAAGATCAGAGTGCTTTCCAAATCTCTTCAGATGGTGGTACCTGCTTCATTTATCACCAGCAACCCTCCTACCATCTGTCTCTCTCTCCCTTTCTTAGTATTGCCAAAATAGCCTGGACTTGCATAAGGGAAGAAATGACGGAAACTTCAAGTTTGCACCCAAAACTGAGTGAGCTTTGCTTTGTTATTCTCTGAAGACACAGCCATCAGAGATTTGCATCACTCAACTCCAAAGGGGAAAATCATTCCCACTTTCCTAACAGATGTGTTTCAGATGCTCTCTTAGCCAGAAGAGTAAAAGATAAATAAGGTTAAAAGAGAGGACCTAGGCATAAAGCTAGAAGATAGGGCATATCTGGATATTCTATGCCCAGGGGTAACAGCAGTACCTTAAATTCAGGGAGGAACAGCAAGGTCAGAAGTTAAAGAACAATAAACCAATCACCCTTAAGTGTGCAAGCTGAACAGGAGAGATCCAGTTGGTTGGTTGCCAAATGATGTATTCTTAAAGGTCAAACTTCACATCCACAAAGAAATTCTTTCCACAGAATCCTTGACAACTGTTTTCAGCCTCTGTGAGAACATATTACAGAGAGTTCCCACATTTACTGGAGAGTCCATTACACGTTAGAAAGTTCCTTTATATTGAGCTGAAAGTGCCTCCTTGTAGCTTCTACTCCGAAGTACCAGAGAACTCATCTATATCATCTTCTCAAAGGTGGCATCCCTCAACCCTGGGAGCTGGACAGGAGTGGGAGAGACAGAAGAGACACTATTTTAAATGAGATTCCTTAAGATCAATCTTTTTTTTTTTTCACACTAGGAGTCTGGTGGCATATTGTACCTTTAACAAGATAGAGGGGGAAAAATGCTAGACTACTGTCAGATACACCTGGCTTGCAGGCCTGTCTCTGTTGCATCATAGCTGTGCAGTCTTGGATAGGTTACTTAACCTCACTGAGCCTTTCGGTTTATCTATAAAGAGGATCATCTATAAACAGGAGTAGTAAAACCTGCTGTGCTAACCTCAAAGTTGTAATACTCAAAATATGTCCTGTACACGAAAATATCCTATAAATTATAAAGAGATCTACATATATTAAGTTATTATTATAATGACCTTTTTTGCTCAATCTTTTTGTCAGCCTTTCACATCCTCATTTTTGACTGGCAGGTAGCTGACTTCTTGGCCTTATAATCAGGATATACCAGAAAGTTCTCATTTCAGCTTATACCTCAGAAGCAGTCCCATCATCAAACAAGGTGGCATAGAATCATGAAATAACCAAAAAGCACTGTGAAGAGCTTAGAAGAAGAGTTAGAAAAACAACCGAAGGACATTTTCTGAACAGACAGCACAGGGAAAGGCCGGGAGCCTGGGCAGGGAGGAGAGGGTTAAATCCTTTCCTCTGCAGTACAAAAGAAAAGAGTGTGCGGAAAGATTAGGATTTTTGCTTTTACAATGGGAGCTGCAGAAGCGTAGGGAAGAAGCTGAAGAAAAAAAAGGGGGCGTCTCCCCTTTAAAGACTTGCAGAGATTGAGAAGAGAGAGAGAGAGTCAGGGACAGAGAATCAGAGCGCGCGCGTCTGTCTGTCTGTCTGTCTGTCCCTTGGAAGGGAGAACATCTCTGCTTCACAGTGGTTGGCACTGGGGGAGAGGCATCAGTTGGCTTCAGACCCAAGGGGGAGACCAGACCAGGTCACCCCGGTTAAGACTAAGTGAGAGTTGCCCCTCCCCGTCCCACCTCTCTCCACCCGGGAATGTCTCGGCGAAAGCAGCGGAAACCCCAACAGTTAATCTCGGACTGCGAAGGTCCCAGCGCGTCTGAGAACGGTGGGTGCCGGGGAGGGGTTGGGGGGGCCTTGAGCCCAAGCCTGTGTGGGTCAGGCCAGGGCAAGGGGAGGGCACCCGGGCCATGGGCAAAACCAGGGGGAGAACTTGGTCGCTGGGGGGTTGAAAGAGTTGAGATGCAGCGTGTAAGGAGATGACCTGTGCTGGGGAGAAGCCCCGCTTGGCTTTTCTCAGGGTTGATTATGTTTGTGTTTTCTGTGTTGTTTTTCTCTGGATGAAATGGAGTTTTCAAACTGGCTCTGTTTCCCCACCCAAGAGTTTTCTCCCCAGGTCCCCCCTTTGCTCACTGGTCTTTGTGCCGTTGCTAAGTAACCTCCTCAGACCTGAAGATCGTCTCTTAGGGGTGGGATTTTCCCCCCTTTTCTTTCTGGAGAGTTGGGTTGCAAGAGAATGAATTGGATAAACGTGAAGGGTCCCCTGAGGGAGAAGAGAAAAAAGTTTCTCATTGTTGGGCTGAGCAGAGAACAGATCAGAGCTCCCAGAGGGAGAGAGCTAATGTCGGTCAGATGCAGCCTGGTTTGGGGTGTGTATCTGTGTCACCTGGAGTAGAGGCTAGAGGAAAGTTCTGGATGAGGGGCTTAGGTTTGTGTTTCAAGGAAAGCCAAGCTAAAAAAAGTGTATGAGTTAACATACTTGTTGATACATGCATATCATTTTATGGGGATATGATCATTTGTTTAAGTAACAGATTTTCTTTATGAGGGGGGGAAATTTCATGTATTCTTATAACATTCCAGTAAGTAAGAGGCAGCCAACAGAGCAACTAAGGTATTGAGAAGTGACATTGCCCAAAGTCTCAGAAACAGAGGTACAGTCAGGTCAGAAACCTAGATTTCATGACATTTAGGGTTAGTGGTGCTCACTCCACCTAAACTAGGGTTTTCCAAGCTTGCTTGCTTGTGGGTAGATCTGGGCTAGAGTCTGGGAATCTGTATCTTTGCAAATGTCCAGGTAATTCTTAGGATCGAGCAAGTTTGGGACAATCTAGTATGGCTACATATGTTCACACTGTGAAAGTCTGAAAGTCCTGGCTCAGGGATAAACTATTTATTTAGCAAACAGTTGATTCACCCAACAATGCAGTGTAGGATTAAGCACACAAGTGTTCTGAAGGCAGACTTTCAGGATTCAAATCCTGGCTCTACCACTTGGTTAGCTGTGCGACCTTGTTGGTTTACTTTGCCTTTCTATGCCTCAGTTTCCTCATCTGTAAAATAGGGATGAATATACTAGCTACCTCATTAGGTTACTGAGTTAATACATGTTAATACACTTGGAAAAATAACTAGCATAAATAAGTGCTTAATACATGTGGCACAGTCCCTAGCATAAATAAGTACTTAATATGTATTATTTTTTTTAAAGACTTTTTTGATGTGGACCATTTTTAAAGTCTTTATTGAATTTGTTACAATACTGCTTCTGTTCTATGTTTTGGTTTTTTGGCCGTGAGGCATGTGGGATCTTAGCTCCCCGACTAGGGATCGAATCTGCGCCCCCTGCATTGGAAGGCAAAGTCTTAACCACTGGACTGCCAGGGAAGTCTATTATTATTATTATTATTATTATTATATGTGAGTACAGTGCACTTCCTGTAAGTGCTGAAATATGACCAAAGCTCGGGAGCCTCTTGGTGAACTTCAGCATTTCTTTATGAGATGTGTGCCATGAAAAGCTCTAGGATAATGTATTTGTAGTAGC